TAATTCCCATCTTCTTTTGCCTTAAGAAACCAGTGATTTTCTGTACCTCCAAAAGGCTTTTTTAAAAGTCGTGTCTCCTTTGTTATAATCAAAACGATAGTAATTTTCTGGATACAATTACCGCAACGAGGCCTCTGCTTTTTAAAGAAAAGGTGGGGGGGGGGGCAGTAAATGCCACGACAATCGGAGATGGCAATCTTACAGGGAGGGGATTCCTGGAACTGAAGGCAGGGGAGGGGGGAGTCGATTCTCCAAAGTTTTAAAAAGTTCTTCCAAACTCAAGCCCTTCTGGGATTCTCTCTTAAATACGGCCTGCCCCCCCAAATACAAATCCACGTTAAGGGCTCCCCGCGAGGGAAGATGGCAAACTGGGGTCTGCCTCCCCCTCCGAGAGACTTAGCGCTGCTCCAGTGAGCAACAGCTATTCCTCCATCCAGCGTCAAGGGGATGCTGGTCTGCCTCGTGGGGAGGCGGGCAGATCTGCTCCAAGGGTGACCCAAAATGGGGAAGCACCTTTTGGAAGTTTTGCTGGCTTCTCTGCTGTACACACGTACACACACACACACACACACACCCTTGCTTTACTTGCCCCTTACGGTCAGCTGAGCAGGCAAAGCAAACAGGACTTTCTCTTCTGGACCAAGGAAGAATCTAACTGCACATAACTAGGAGTGGGGATCTCTCTGGATTCCAGGCCTTCGTTAGGGGTCTCCTCCAGCCTGGAATCTAACAGATCCCATTCCCACAAAACTGTAAGTGCCCCCTCATCCTCTCCCAGGGAAACTGTTGCTTTCTTCCTTTTAATCCCACTTCCTGACATAAAAGTTAACTGCCATGGCTGCAGGTTTCCAATTCCTTTCCCTCAGGAATTTGGAAAAGACTGCGAGGAAGGGGACCACGGCTTCTTCCAAGCGCAAGTGGGCACATACCATCCTTCACAGGACACACAAAGTTGGCCCAAGCAACTCCAGCTTTCATTAAACACAACCCTCACTCAGGCTTCTAGATTTTACCTAAACAATACTCTGCATTTCAGTGGAACTTTCAAAGCTCATTGAATGCACGATCCTATTAGACTCCTCGTAAAAACCCTGCAGTGTAGACCCTACAGGGTGAGGCTGAAGAGCTGGCCCAGCAAAGTTCATAGGAGAGATTCCTTCATCACACTTCAGCCACAAGGTTTCACCAGTTTCAAAGCCTGCGGATTGTGCAAAAGGAGGGAGGTGGGGGTGGCCACCCAAACGTTGCTGAGTCAAAGACACAGGAGCCAGACCAGCTGGACCAGTGATGAGGGATCCTAGGAATTGTGGTTCGGCAACATCTGGAAGGCCACAAGTTGTTGATCCTCATGCGAAGCCTTGTCTGCAGCCAGACTGGGGCTGAATGGAATTCCCATCAGGAATTCCCATTAATACTTCTTTTAGTATAAATTGCGTGTGCCAGGTCCTGTACAAAACAATGCAGCGTCAAGGTTCTTGGCAAAAGGTTTGCAGCAGAAGCAGAATCCAGAACAGAAAGATGGGATGGAGAGAAAAGCGACTTCCCTATTTGGTGAGAGCTAGAACAGAGCTACATATTCCCCATTTAATCATTTTGGGGAGGGGTCGTGGGCTCAGGCAACATTTGCAAGCTCCAAATAGTCATCCAAACACGCTGACAGGATTTGTTTTAATAGCCAGAAACAGCAAAGGAGAAAGCAAATCCGCTTCTGCCATACTTAAGACCAAAAATTTACAGGATGAAATGTCCATCCCAAACGCTCTTTGCACAGACACAGCTAATATGTCAGAGAGAAGCCCACTCCGGAAGCCTTTCTCTGTTGACAAGCAGCCTTCTACGTTGAGCATGGCAAGACATCAATCTGCAATGAGATGAAACTGAAACGCCAACTTACCACCCCTTCTCTTTCTGTGCACACCAGGCCTTTATGGCAGTGTTGTCCAAACTTGGCCACTTTAAGATGAGTGGACTTCAACTCCCAGAATTCCCCAGCCA